TATAAGTATAAGTATAAGTTTATTACGTCTGCAAAAGGCACACGTGGAAAAGAAAATGAGCACCTCTATACAAGAACAGTGTGCTTATAAACAAAAAACTCAAATACTAAAACAGGTAACTTCGGAATCAGTCTCACAAAACTATGACTCTTGGTTCCTCAGTATTGTGACTATACGATGCTTGAACTGAGCTTGTGACAGAGTAACCGGTATGTTCTTTGCAATGTTTATATAATCACTGCCAGCTCTATACGTGAAGCTTTTGGCACGTAGATTAGTTTTAGGTCGCGTTAAGGAGATTTTCATAGAACCTCCCCTAGTTCTCGAACGTGTCATCTTGAAAGACATTGGTAGAACCTGACAAACAAAGACCTTGTATCAGCTTATGAACTAAGCAGAGATCAAAAACTCTGCGCCTAAATTTCAAAGATGTCAGACCCAAAGAGCTATTCCTACTGATTGCATTTGGTATGTTGGAGTACTCAAAACCACCTATTCTTATAAACAATTTGCGAGTGAAACTATTTTGAACCTTTTCAATTGTATATATGTGCTTCTTCTTTGAGGTATTGAATACCGTAGTGCTAGATTCAACCAATGGTCTCACGTAGGATTTGTAGGCATGCAGCAATGCATTCTTATTAGCCGAGGTTAGCCCTTTGAAAATTCGAAATATGCGTAAGTGAGCTGTTCTGACTTTCATTTTAATATGTTCAGAAAAGTCTAGTTTATTATTATAATGAAAACCAAGGTCTCTAACAGATTCAACAACCGAGAGGGGTATTCCCTCGATAGAGTAAGAGTCTATCGATGATGTAGCACCGGTTACTAATCGCATTTGTACCGTTTTGGTTGGAGATATAGGCAGTTGCCAATCCTTAGACCAGCTCACTATAATGTTTATCGCTCTTTGCATCTTTAAAGAGTCTTCAGAGTTCAATATCGATTTGTAGATTTTTATATCATCAGCGTACACTTTTGCTATGACACCTGTTTGCTGAATCATGCTTGGAAGTTCAGATGTAAAAATGTTAAAAAGTACTGGTGATAATACACCTCCCTGAGGCACACCACTAATTACTCGTTTCACGTTAGAAAATGACTGCTCAATTTTGACTTGAAACGTTCTCTCACTCAAATAATTCGAAATCCATTTCGTAATCACCGGATGAAATCTCAGAACCTCTAACTTGTGAATCAGTTTCTTGTGTGAAACTCTATCAAAAGCTTTCGCAAAGTCGAAATAAATTACATCACAACACCCCCTGTTATCTAGGATCTCAGTCCAGTCATTCAAACATTCAACCATATTAGTTTCAACGGAACGACCTGATACAAAACCATGTTGGTGTTTTGAAACAACATGGTTTATTGTCAAGTGGTGATTTATATGTTCTTTCAAAACTTTTTCAAATATTCTGCAGAAAAGGGATGTAATACTGACAGGCCGGTAATTCTCGGGATTCCATGATGGTTCTTTCTTTAGTATTGGTGTGACATAGGAGTGCTTCCAACGTAAGGGTACCTGTCCAAGTGTTAAAGACTGATTAAAAATATAAGCAAGGGGACCACAGATAACATCAGCCATTTTTTGTACAATAAAGAATGGTATCAAATCAGGTGTTACTGAGGAGGAACCAGGCCATTTCGTGATTAAATCATGCAACATGGTGGCGGTGAACGAGGGAAAGTCTTTCATAGGCTCAGTTATGGGGCACGCATAATCAGGTATTTTCCCATCATCTTCATTAAAAACATTCACAAAGTGGTCAGCTAACATGTTGGCTTTATCGATAGGTGAAATCGCTAAGATTCCATCTTTTCTCAGGCAACCAATACGTTTGAAGTCTTGAATTCTCTTACTTAAGTACTTATGAAAATTACGAACGTTCCCTGAATAAATAATTTTCCTCTCTAAATAGTCATTATATTTTTTGAGACGTGCGCTGAATCTCTGTGTGAAAGCTTTGAACTCTTCCCAATCACCTCGTTGTCTTGCTTCATTGAACAAACACTCTCGATGTTCCCACATATTTTGTAGATGTTTGGGAAGATGGACTGACTTGAAACAAGGAACTTTTTTCCAAGGAACGTAGTAATCGATAGCAGCATGCAGTACAGATAAGAATAGCTCATATTTATCATTCACATCGCTTCTTGATTCTAGCAATGGTACCCAACGAATCTGAGCTAGATCAGTACAAAGTTCATTGAAATTGCAGTAAGAATACATGCGTCTATAAACATAGATAGGGGAGGACGAGTTACACGCAATTTGAAATTCGATACTATTGTGATCACTTAAACCCACCGGAGCGCTAACTGTAAGACTTTCTATTAAATTTGGGACATTGGAAAAAACTAAATCAAGAATACTATTCCCCCTTGTGGCATTCTTGACATGCTGGGTGAGGTATGACATTGAGCAAGTTCACTTAGACAGGATACCACAGGTGACGGTTGGAAGAACCACCTCTTCTTGGCAAAATTCTGGAAGATTGAAATCACCCATAATCACAGTATGTTTATCGCATGATATCAAGTCACTGAGCGCTTTGATAAGCAAGTCCGAATTTGCTCTAGAGCATGAAGGAGTTCTGTAGATTGCTATCATTCTGCAGTAATACATCCACACAGAGCACTTCAAAAGAGTCTTCAACAGATTCAGCAAACACTAAACACAACGAAAGCCTGCGCTGAGCAATAAAGATGACCCCACCTCCAGGTTTTTTTGGCCGATCACATCTAATAATATCATAGTTATCAGTTATCGTACCCAGAATAGAGGTCAATGTGTGATTAGGTTTCAACCAAGTCTCTGAGAAGGCGTATATATCATAATGTTGAGTCAGCAATATGCGTAAAAAGTCTGAGTTTTTAGAGACTGATCGGATGTTACAATAGAAAAACCTCAATGAGCGAACGTACCGAGGAAAACGTCTCAGTTTCCCTCGATATTTTCGGAGCGATTGGTCGCATCTCTAGGGTAGATGGTGACATCTTGACTGTTATTGTAGGTTGACGTACCATCTCGATTCCTAGTTATGCGATCACCGTAGTTCATGGGCCGTATGCTATCCTCCCCGGAAGGGGTTTGAGGACGAAAATTCTTTCAAATTTCCTCTGTCTTCCCAACTGGGATTACCCTGATAAAAGGCCTACATTAAATGTATGTATACCAGTTTTGCTCCGCCCGCTATCGCGCGCATGTTAACATAGGCTTCTATGAAACAAAGTATAGCCGGGCGGTTGTGTTGAGAAACATACTGCTTTCAATTGGTTTTACTGATGGTATTAAGGAAAGCAGACGATAAAGCACGTATCTATCATTAGCTCCAAGACTATGAACAATCCATCATTGTTTGTAGAATACTAACAAAGTTTATAGAAGCCAAATGACCATGGGGGAAACTAATAGGAACTTATAGGTGTCAATATCACCACTCAAACCAGTAAACATCCTACTCATGCTTTGGACGCTGGATAGTTTAGCGCGTCTAATATTTCTTTTACCGCTGGATGCTATAATAAATTACAATTTATCGCACATACTCCCACAGGGTTGGTCGGGTGTGACACAACATCTTAGAAATGGCAGAATTAGCGGTCGAATACCCTAATACAAAAAGGGATGTTTTATTTATCCCAAATCTAGAAGCAACGCATAGATTTGCTTTTGATCACTCCTTATCAGCCCTACATGCGTTATCACTTTTTGATCGCCCATCAAAATATGTTTCACCTCACAGTTCATATCTGCAAATCAAATGCACTCAATGTAGTATGCCACTGCCTAGTGAATTTCGTGATGTGCTTCGATCGCCTTCGTAATTCAGCCCCTATCACGTTTGGTCCATTTTTTCACATGTTCCCATCCCACCCCTCCTATATCATATCTGCAAAGCAATGCCTCAATGCTGCTGGGCCCTGCGCTTGTGAATTTCGTGACATGTGCGTTCGAACGCTTCTTATCAGCCCCTATCAGCCGTTATCACTTTCTGGTTCCATCAGATATTTCCCAGTCCCACCCCTATATCATATCTGCAAAGCAACGCCTCAATGCTGCTGGGCCCTGCGCTGTGAATTTCGTGACATGTGCGTTCGAACGCTTCTTATCTGCCCCTATCAGCCGTTATCACTTTCTGGTCCCCATCAGAATATGTTCCCGTCCCACCTCCCTATATCATAATCTTCAAGCAATGCCTCAATGTGCGGCCTGCGCGTGTGAATTTCGGATGTCGTTCGATACGCTCTCCTATCACCTTATCCCTTCCTGATTCTTTTCAGTCACATGTTCCATCCCACCCCCTATATCATATCTGCAAAGCAACGCCTCAATGCTGCTGGGCCCTGCGCTGTGAATTTCGTGACATGTGCGTTCGAACGCTTCTTATCAGCCCCTATCAGCCGTTATCACTTTCTGGTCCCCATCATCCCACCCTCATATCTATTTGCAAAGCAATGCTTCAAGCTCTGCTGGCCCCGCTATGAATTCGGAAATGTGCGTCTCGAATCGCTCCTTATTCATCCCTTATCAGCTTATACTTTTGGTCCCCATCAGATATGTACCATGCACCTCATTCATATCTTTAAAGCAAATGCTCAATGCTGTGGGACCAGCGCTGTGAAAATTGCGAAACGGCGTATCGATATGCTTCTTATAGCCCCCATCACTTGCTGAACTACTTATTAGGCGACTGGACAATTTCTTCGTTGCAAAGCGCATCGCCCCCCTAAATCCGCCTGCCTTTCGACCAGATAAATTCCATCTTGACTCCAATAATCTGATTAAATCTGTAAACTAAGAATAACTGGTGGCGACCATAGATAGAGATATTATAGAGAAATGTTAAGAAAAGGTTCAGCTCAATAAAAAAGGATAAGGGAGAATGTTTGATTGGACGCGTGAGAGTATTCATGGTGGGTAATCGTTTATCCCAATCGCATACAATGAGAGAGCGGTCAAAAACCGTCCAAATTCCATTGTGCGTATCAAACCGTCACCAGGCAACTTTGAAAATGCTCTCGTAACCCCTCCCATCACCAACCTGCTCATTTCCAAATCGTATAACTGCCACCTTTCCACTTTCGATGAACTGCGGACAGTGCATAGTTCTGGTTTCGTTGATCTTCCGCATGACTTTCTCTTCCATTTTCAGGATCTCCTCTTCTCGGCCACCATCTTGATCTTCTGCCTTCAAAACGTAGCTTCAACTCTAATTAGGGCATGGTTAATTTTTCGCGACTCACGCGACTATGCGATTAGGTGAGCAGGCGATCGCATGGAATGCTCGGAATACATACCGTACCCACATATTCGCCTAATCAGAACATATCTTCTCCTCATCGCCTATTCGCCCTTTCGCCTGAGTCGCAACGCTGATTACTGCATGAGAGCCCACTAGTGATAAACGAGCTAACCTTGCAAGCGAAGCGTCGATGAGGTGCTGCTATGAGAGCCACTTCGTAAATCACTCCACATCCGCCTTCTCCAAGTTTACGACAAGCCTGAACGATATATTGAAGGAACATCAATTGGAAGGGAGTCCTCACAACGTACGATATATTTTCCATTGATAATTGAGGTTAGTTGAAGGTTGACGTTTGGACGTCCCATGGGGTGAGTATGACTGGTGGTAAAAGAATGAATAATGGACACTCAGAACGGGTATTTATAGCAGTCATCGTGGTGATAATGATTGATAACCACGATATTATTGTGCACCACCCGCAAATAATTACTGTAACTCGCTCAAATCGCTATCGAATGGAGGCAAGTTGATTATCAACGGAGGCAGCGTTCATAGTTCGCGCCCATTTGCGATTACGTGATTAGGCTATAAGGAAAAAGGCTACATATCAGATAGACTAGTGGACGAAGGAAATATCGATACGTCGTTTTTTCGCCTGTTCGCCTAATCGCCCAATTGTACGTATGATTTTCTTTTTGAATAGCCGCCTAATCCCATATAGAGGATAAAAGGATAGAGCATTCGGCGCTGATCAAACCCGTTCTAGGATGCGCCACGCATTCTACTTCTATTCAGAATAGTAGTGGCAATTTGAATGTGATGCGATTGGGCCCATATGACCTGCGCGGGACAAGGCACTTTCATACTTTCAAAAGTCTGATACCAACTAACCGATCCCAAAGGGATGGAAGGCCTGGTTGGTCCGGACGTCGCACAGCCCAGGTTTTGATGCCCGGAACATGCGATACCAGTCGTAAAGTAAAGCACCACTTGTCACTACACCATCCTCCGCCTC